TTTTGTATTTATTTTTAAAACTGGTATTACTATACTTGTGGGGACATTATTTGGTTCCCATAAGGTAATGAACAGACACACTGAGTTTTCACGTTTTACAAGCTCTTAGTGTGTTTCTACAATACAGACTATATGTTTTGTCCACTAAACTCGCCATTTTTTTCATGGGTAATAATTTTTTTTTCGAAATTCAAAAATGACTGGTATTACTATACTTGCGGGGACATGATTTGGTTCCCATGACGAGATGACCAAACACACTTTGAGTTTTCAAGGTTTACAAGCTCAGAATGTTTACTGTAAATATTTGTCCAGTAAATCTGCTGCTTTTATCATAGGAACCAAATATTTTTCCAAAAAAGACTGGTATTACTACACATGCGGGGACATGATTTGGTTCCCATGACGAGATGACCAAACACACTTTGAGTTTTCAAGGTTTACAAGCTCAGAATGTTTACTGTAAATATTTGTCCAGTAAATCTGCTGCTTTTATCATAGGAACCAAATATTTTTCCAAAAAAGACTGGTATTACTACACATGTGGGGACATGATTTGGTTCCCATAAGGTGTTGAAAACACTCACACGTTTTACAAGCTCGCGGTGTGTTTCTACTATACAGACTGTATGCTTTGTCCACTAAACCTGCCATTTTCTTCATGGGGACCAAAAAAAAAAGTAAAAATGACTGGTATTACTATACTTGTGGGGACACTATTTGTTTCCCATGATGCAATGACCCCCCACACACACACACACACACACACACACACAGGCTTTTTCTCAGCCCCCAGAGCACTCTCATTGCCGCATTGATGTTCTGGCTCCGGCATGCGGGTCCTGCGGGTCCTGCAGAGCGGGTCGGGGGGCTCTGGGATGCTAGGACACCTCACTCCCGAACACCTCCAGCACCAGAGGTGTCAGCTGCATGCTGTGCTCGGGCTGGAAGGACAGCGAGCGGTACTGCTTGGAGTGCTCCTCGTTCAGGCTGCGCAGGTCCGCCAGCTTCTGGATCATCTTGGCGTAGAGCAGGCGTCCGCCGGGGTGCTGGATGCGGATGTAGGCCTGCAGTACGTCACACAGCCGGTCCTGCAGGGCTTCTATGCGCACGTGGTCCTGCACGCCCGGACGATCTGCAGACACATTCAGATAATATACACACATCTCAGGGGTGTCCAAAAAAAGATTCATTGAATTTGAATGCAAATAAATGCGTATTTAAATTTTTGGTGCCAAAAGACGTGATGACAGTGTAATCCAGGGGTCACCGGGCTGCACCCCAGTACCACATTATTATGGTTCAGACCAATTTTTTCTTAGACCAATTATTATTAGTGTAGTTTAGTGTCCAGTCTCTGTGTAATAATCAGCATAATGTAGATCCAGCCGGTGCTTACCCAGAATAAACCCTTCAGTCTTATACAACAGCTGCCGATAAACCCGTCAGGCCTAATATTAGTGTGATGACTATTCCTTGGAGCTCTGTCTGTGGTCTGCATAGGGTTTGATAATGTTTGTTCAGTGAAAATACTTAAAATAAATACATTATTTCACCGTAAACACTCTTGTCTTCTCCTTATTTGTGGAGGCTGGGTTTAAGGTCGAAAGATTAGGATAATATAGATCCAGGATGTTGTTATCACACAATAAACAAACCTGACAGCTTTGACTGAAGGGTTTATTCTGGGAAAACAACCATGCTGGATGTACTTTATCCTGCTTATTATAGGCTATTGGCCACAAAATGTAAAAATTACACACAAAACATTGCTCTGAAGCGTAATAGTTTAATAATGCTTTAATTCTAAATCTGAAAGCTGACAAAAACAAAATAAGCTGATGGAGTATACAGCAACATGTGCATTATTCAGACACTAGATGGAGCCAAGCAGTCAAAAACACCAGCAGACCCATATGTGTGTGCGTGTGTGTGTGTGCGCGTGTGTGTGTGTGTGTGTGTGTGTGTGTTCCGCACCTGGAGACAGCAGGCAGATGGCCATCAGCAGCACGTGCTCTTCTTCATGAAGCTTCAGCTTCTTCAGACCAACCTGAAACTTGACCAGCGGCTCCAGCAGCTCCAGAGTGTGACCCGCTGCACGCACGCACGCACACACACACACACACACACACACACACACACACACACACACACACACACACACACACACACACACACACACAAACACACACAGGTTTACTTAGCTATCTAAAGCATTACATTGATTTCTACTGTTTTTATACACAGTTACACACACAGACATGCACAACATGAGGAGTGCATTTATATATGTGTGTGTGTGTGTGTGTGTGTGTGTGTGTGTGTGTGTGTGTGTGTGT